CAATTCCCAGCCCCCACATGGCAGCTGTGACTCCAGTCCCAGGGGATCTGATGCTCTCTTAGGGTCTCTGTAGATGGTAGGCACATGTGATTCACAGGCATAGATGCAGGCTAAACATCCATGCACATACGATTTAAACAACAGCCAAGATGTGTTTTAGGAACAAACAAGGATTCACTATTATTACAATTTATAGGAAGCAGAGTAACAGTTTCTTTATTATCTCTCCTCCCGCCTCTGTCTGACTTTCATTTCATTTTTTCTTTCCTGCTTACAGCGGAACCAGTATTTGGAAGGCTGGGCCAGAGGTGGCTGTCACCATTGCTTGTTGACCCAGACAGTATAGAACATTGTGACATGCACTGAATGTGGCTGCTGCTGTTGGCTCCCTGCTTTAATGAGCTGTAGGAGACACTTACTGAAGCCTTATTTCCAGCCTGGCTTGATACAGATGGTTGGCATTTCTAGGTCTCACCTCAGGGTCTTCAGAGGACATTGGTGCTGTGCTTTCTTTGGATCTAACTCAGATCTTTCTTACACTAGAAGAAGGTCTGGAGTCTGGGAACAACTGGATTTAAATCAGCGCTGTGATAGTACTTGTCATGTTAACGTGTTTCGTCTTGTTTGTTTATTTTCTTGTTTTTGTTTGTAGTTTTGAGACAGGGTCACACTCTGTAATCCTGGGTGACTTGGAACTCCCCATGTAGACCAAGCTGGCCTTGACTTCTGGCAGTGTATCTACCTCAGTCTCCTGAATGCTGAAATTATAGGAATGAGCCAATATCTTGATCATATCCCAAATTCAATTTCAATGATGGAGATATGGGGATCTTACTGTGTTACCCTGGGTGGGCTTGAACTCATGAGCCAAGTTATCCTTTGGTCTCAGCCTTCTGAGTAGCAAATATTATAGGAGTGCACCACTGTGCCCAGTGGTTGGTTTTGGTTTTAAAATGATGAATTGTGGGGCTGGGGAGTAGCTCAGTGATGAAGAGCACTAGTTCTTCCAAAGCACCTGGGTGGAATTCCCAGCACCCACTTGATGGCTCACAACTCTGAACTCCATTCCCTGGGAGATGACGCCCCCTTCTGGCATCTGTGGAGACTGCATACATATGGTGCCCAGACATACATGCAAGCAAAATATTCATACATATAAAAATAATAAATAAAATGCTCAAAAATTAAAATGGTGAATTATTTAGCAGTAACATTTAAAATTTGGTTGGTGAACTTGAAACTAGTATCTTTGGAAGTAAGCCTTTTATGTGTGATGAAAAGGCTGTTGTGTACATAAATAGTTTTTTTGGACAGGCTCTCACAATTTAGTCTTGGCTGTCTTGGAACTTGTCATGGAGACCAGATTGGCCTGAAACTTATGGGATGAAAGGCTTGTGCAATCACGCCTATTTTTTTTTTTTTTAAAGACAAAGTCTTACTATGTAGTCTGAAACTTGGTATGTAGGCTAGGCTAGCTTCTAACTCATAGAGATTTATCTGCCTCTACCTCCCAAGTGGTAGAATTAAAGGCATATGATGCCATGCCTGGCGGCTGCTGCTGCTGTTACTACTACTACTACTACTTCTTTTTAAAAAAAATTTTATTATGAGAAATTTCAAAACTGTAAGTATTACTATTTATATAAGCCACTATAGTCAATTCATGGCTAGTATTATTTCTATTTGCTTTTCCTTTCTAAATATTTTGAGATAAATCTTAGCCATGTTATGTCATCAATAAATATCTTAGTATGTATCTACCCCTCTTCCATTGCCTGCCCCCTCCCACGCAGCTGATTGAACGTAATTCTTGCATATGGTTAGTCAAGTGCCCTAACAGTGACATATCTCCTTGTTCATGTTTTTTGAGACAGTCTTAAGTCACGTTAGGCTGGCCTTGAGCATCTTATTTTAGTTTCAAATTTGGGATCATGGGGATGTTCCACCATGTCTAATAGTATATATGTCTCTGTCTGCATGGAAAGCTAGACATAGTAGCATGCAGCTCTAATCCCAGTGCCCCTACAGCAAGATGACATGGAGACAGGAGAATCCTTGGAACTTGTGGGTCAACTAGTCTGATGTACTCAGTGGCAAAAGAAAAGTACTCTACTTGACAAGGTAGAGGGCAAGGACTGAAACCTGAAGTTGATTTCCAATCTTCATGTGCACTGGGGGTGGGGGGTGGGGGGATGGGAAGGTGCAAAAAAATAACAACTCTTCTAAAAGGATGAACTAAACTGTTTTTTCTACTGAATACTTGTAATACCAGAATGTGTGAGATTTTCTCATCATAAAGCAACTAGGTGATCTGTTGGCACCAGCTGAGTGTCCAGTAATTCAGTTCAGTTTCAATGTCATCTACCTAGAGATGCCATAGGATTTCTTTAATTTTGGATGCTAATCATTGATATAGAATGTGACCTTGTGCCGGGCGGTGGTGGCGCACACCTTTAATCCCATTCCTAAGAAGATAGGAAAAACAACAAAAAAGAAAATACATTTGTTTATTTTATGCTCTATCCTTCCTTTAAAAGGATTTGAGAGCCGGGCGGTGGTGGCGCACACCTTTAGTCCCAGCACTCGGGAGGCAGAGGCAGGCGGATCTCTG